TCATCGGCGTATACGCGCGTGTCATCACGTGACGAGATCATTAGACTGGACGCGGAATCAAAAGCGCCGGGCAAATGAAATATCAGGATATTACGCGGCGGGAATGTAAAACAGGATGGCATGTTTATTACAGAGGCGGGCAAAGTATGTATATTAACGGCGTAGAAACGCGGCTGTACGGATCCGTGCATTCACAATACGACGGCGACAACCTGTTGCAGTAACAAACTCCAAGTAATTTTTGCCGGAGGACGCGCTAATTCTTTCCGTTCCGTGTTTCACGCTCTATGGACGTCGCTCCGAGCTCCGCTACCGCGCTCACCTTGTTATTTACCGTGTTAACATGCTACATCCGGATGGTCAGCGCGCTTCCTGTTCGTTGGTCACCGCGACGATTCAAGGCTTCGGTCAGGAATGGGGATTTGGCGCCGCTGGTTCCAAAAAATTAAAACTAATTTCTCGATTCTCCCGACGATTTTCATTTACATAGAATTTTTATAAATTTTTGTAGCTGATTATCCTCGGTGGAAGAGAAAGCTTTTCATCGAGCCCTTTGAGTACTTGAAATCACCAAAAATTCGAAATGAAAGGATTGGAGCATGCGGCAAATTAGAATTATTATATATAATTATCCTAATTTCTCGACTCTTCTGACATTTTCATTTATATCGAATTTTCATAAATTTTCGTAGCTGATTATCCTCGGTGGAAGAGAAAGCTTTTCATCGAACCCTTTGAGTACTTGAAATCACCAAAATTCGAAATGAAAGGATTGGAGTATGCGGCAAACTAGGATTATTATATATAATTATTCTAATTTCTCGACTCTTCTGACATTTTCATTTATATCGAATTTTTATAAATTTTCGTAGCTGATTATTCTCGATGGAAAAGGAAGCCTTTCCTCGAACCCTTCGTTTTCCTCGAACCATTTGAAATCACCAAAATTCGGAAAGATTGGAATATGCGGCAAATTAGGATTATTATGTACAATTATTTTAATATATTAAAATATGTCCTCTTTTTTGAATGTCCAAGAAGTGAATTAATTATTTGAAAAATTTAAGTAAATAAAATTTTAAAATAAAATTAAGTAAATAAAATTATGGTAGCTATACAAAAATATGGTAGCTAAATGAAAATTTTCATGTCATATATTTGAAAATAGTATATTAATTAATATTATTTATCTCTCTTAATATCATCTCATCGTTTGGCATTTTCTTATTTTCAATTACTTGAATCAAGCTAATCAAAATCAATTAGCCTTCATTAACATTAAATACTGAGAGAACGAACCCAGTTAACAGGCATTAAGGAAAATTCTGTAGGAAGAATCTGATAAGTAATTCAGTTTATAAATGGACTATTTTCATTCCGGATTATTTCCATTAAAAGCAATGGATTATTTTTCTGATTGTATAAATACTGAAAAACGGAGAATAAAAATTTCAATATCCTACAGTTTAATTAGATTGAAAATAAATCCAAATAAATAAATACAACAAATTCAAATAAGTTTAAATAAACAAAAATTAACCAAAATGTGAAATTCGCAATATTTATAAATTTCAATTTCACACAAATATACATAAAGTTGAAAGCTTCAATGTAGGACAGCATTGCGACTTTTCAAAATTTCGTCAAAACTTGACAAAATTAACCAGAAAATGCGGAAAAGACAGTAAACGATTCTGACGGATATCAATAAAGAAATATAAGATAACAAAGTTATGCATAAGTTGAACAATAATAGATAATAAACAATCATGTTGGCACTGACATGCAAAACTATCTGCGAGCACGAATAATACTGATCTATTACTTTCAGTATTTCAAAATTCCATGCAATTTAATAAAGTTGCTGATGCGAGTTATTTAGCGCCGAAAGGGAAAATTCAATAAGCTACATACCATACGAAATTCTAAAATCCCTAGTAACCAACGATGTTTATCGAAATTTCCATACCTGCCGGACTCAATTATAATATGCAAAGTGAAATTTATCATTTATACGTTTTGAAGAAATTCCAAAACAACATTAAATTTATACGCATTAAAAAACAAAAAATATTGTCATCGACATAATCTTAATTTCTGTATTTCATATTTAACTCTTTTAGTTGATCTCTTATATTTTATGGAATATAGCTTGAAATTTATAGTTATGAAGAATCAGAAATTTAATTGAATATTCAATAAAGTATTTTGTTATTTCAAAAGAGTTTTCTGACGAAAATGTTCAAACATTCATTGGAACATTTCCTTTATTTCATTTATATGTATATATGTATATACAAAATATATAAAATACGCATAAGCATCTAACAGTCGAAACAGTTGTATTTGTAAAAATGTGAAATTGCACAAGCCATATTCTGCTCATTATAGTCTCGATAAAAATATTTCAAAATATTTTACGTACGTACGACAGGGAAATTTTTACGAACAGGTAACATAATTCAAGCTCTTTGCAGAGCGTTTTGTTTTACACGAACGAGATCGCCCGATGTAAGTCGTATTAAATTTCTACCACCCTTGAAACGGATATGTACGCGTGTGTCATTACCATGGAAAAATAATTTCTTCGCCGCATGTTTTCATCCTCTAATTATTTCGTCTCTTATTGCACACTGTGAAAGAAATTGCATTTTTTCTGATTTTCCCAAGTAAAAAAAAAGCGAATGTCTTTTAATCTGCTGAGGATTTAGGAGTATTTTCTGTGTTATTGCAGCCTCGATAGGTATTAAGTTAATCCGTATTTCAAGAGAGAAATAAACAGCGAGATTTTGTTTGATAATCGACGTAAATTTTGTTTAGAAAAGAATCTTAACGAACGAGAAATGAATTTCTTGTTGTAATTTAATACTGTATATTTATCATAATAAAATTGTAGAATTTACGAAAGATAGATAATATTATTGTTAAAACTTTATTTAGGTACATAGATTGACTAATTATAAATATATACTATTTAACATAAAAATTTTCACACTCTTCAGAATTAACCAATGTATACACGAAGACAAGATTTTAAGTAGTATATACCTATAATTGGTCAACCTGTACATTTAAGTGAAATTTCAACAATAGTACCACTCGGTCTAGAAATATTTACTATCACTAATTTACTACGTAATTAATATTTAATATTCAGCAATATATCTATACATTGTTAAAGCCATAATTGACGAATTTTTAATTGGTTAAAAAAAAAAAATTTTCAGCAACAATATTCACTTTTTTTGATTAAAGCAAAATCACTTCTACAAGAATTATTAAAAATTAATATTTTTATAAAAATTGCACTCATTACATTCATTTTCTCTTTAATATAATTACATATTTCAACTATATATATATCAGTATTTCATCATGTTTTGTCAACTTCATTTCAATACATCTAATTGAAAAATTGGTAAAGAAGCTTGCCATCCTGTTACGTTTTCGAGTGCATTTCACAGTCCAAAAAACGGTCATGAACTAAAGACTACGAAAGAAAATTGTCCGCCATTTCCCAGCACTTTCTGTTACGCTGGCAAGAGAATCTTTCGAAAGTTGCATCGATATCTGCGCTTTTCAACCGAGCTAACGTTCGACGTGCTTATAAAAACAGCATCGATAAGTGCTATGAGACGTAACGACCTCGTCTCGAGAACGTTCGCCTCCTTGACCATTCTTACAATTGCTTTTTTTGTATTACGCTTATCGTCAGTTCGATTATTTCCCTGCACAGCTTTCTACGCGATTAATAGTTCAATATATTTTAATATCAATATACTGAACAAATTTTTGTACAATCTATAGAAATTTCGTAGAATTTCCGTAGAAATCACAGAAACTTATGTAACATTTTAAAGTATAAAAACTTCAAACGACATCTCAAAAAAGAAGAAATTGCTTCCTCGAAACAATTCTTCGTACGAACTCTCGTTTATTACTTGGCATTCCGTGTATCGTCTTTTGCATTCCACTTCAGACAGTTTCATATTTTCAATTGAGTTCTCGAACAGCGTGAGTGCGCTTCATCATAAATATGGTATCTCTTTGTGCTGCAAAGGTTTTCAAAGACCTGGTTGTATATCTTCCTTCGTTAAATCGAGAGCTATATTGTTATTGTCGTACGTAACGTTTTTGACAAGAAACGCTAGGAGAACATCTGTTCGAGAGACACCTGAAATTTAAGATGTATGACCGACGCTGCCACTGCCGTTCGTGCAAGCGCTACTTATTTCACACCGCGGAAAGAAAAGTGCACTCGATGTACGCCCGATGCGCCACACGTAATGCACACGTCTCGCGTACAAAAGATTCAATGCGGATGGAAACATCGTCTAGACACATTGTTGCCGCAGAAAAAAACACGCGAACGATTCGACAGACTTCAAAATGCGACCGTGCGCGAGGAACATTCTATCCGAATCGTACGTTCGGATAGACAGAGTTTTTTCGCCTAATTATCGTGAATTGTAGATTATTAAGAGACACGGTTCTTCATCGTGCAAAGACTCAATTTTTTCCTGATTTTTTTTTCTTTCACTTGACGCGCGTAATACATTCTCGCTCAAAAATTGCACGGTAAAATTTAATACAAAAAAATAGAGCAATCTAGTAAAGTTTTATAATTGCAATATTCTGTACAAGCAAGTTTGTTTCGTTCGAAAAACAAAGACTGCTTTGCGACAATTTTTTTCAAAAATTGATCAATTTTTGAAAAAATTAGTCTTTCCATGTACTGAGAAAATGCAATCGATGTCGAAGGAACTGATTTTCGAACAATTTTGCTGGAAAAATTCTTTTCCAGAACCATATCGATGGATGTCTGACTAATGCTAGACTTTTCTACTTAGAGTGGAATTCGTCTATACGGATCCAATAAAATGTCAAGTAAATTATTATGTATCTAGAATATTTGTCACGTATTTTAAATACACGAGTTTAACAATTCTGTTTCAGCGCAAAATCAATGAAAATTAATAAAAAAGAGAGCAAGTACTTACAAGGACGGCATTGGTAGGCGACTTCGATGTACTTTGGCAGGCCAGGGCACGGATCGCCTTGAAAGGTTTTCGGGCTGGTGTTGAACTTGCACTGCCTCTTCTTGTGGCATACATCGACCACCGTCTGCAACAGTGAGTACTAACGCGTCATTCAGACGACCCGCTCACTTTACGATGAGATTCGATTCGAACTTAATTAGTCTAAGCTAGTCACGCTTGCAAGATCTGAGGAGGGAACAGAGTCTCGCGTTGATGATAATAGAAATAAAATACAATCAAATAAATATAAATACAATTAAACGCAAAAGTCAACTCGAGTCAACCCCTATGTGCTCCCTTGAATAATCCTTCAAACTTCAGAAATCAGTTCTCCATAAATTTATCTGTAATTCTTGTAATTTTGTATATTGTTGTTCCAAAGTGTTTAAATCTAAAAAGATTGAAATAGTTCGTTAAATTACTGAGCTAATTATTATAATATTTCTCGATAGAGAACTGAGGTAATTCCCTTGAAGTGGAAACAGAAATTCGATTTCGATCCTCCCATCGGTTTTGCATTATTATTGATGATACACGTGATGATCAGGCCTCACGAATCGAAAATCGCACGAATTTCCAAATCAGGCTACCGTATCGTTCGTTATTTTTATCGCACGGAAACGTATTGTATGCTCGAGCAGTTACACGATCCTTTGATATACTCGTATAGATCTCGCAGGCAAATCACATGCACATTGCACGCGTAACAGTTTAGGATCGACGTCGCAATATCAACAGACAATATCCCATCTCAAAATGTGTAATTTACCGCTGTGTGATTACATATTTTGCGACGAGGCTTGCAAATAACGCAAACACACGCCGTTGCATTAAACAGCGGCGCGTTTGTATACGCAAGCGATTTACCCGGGCGGATATTAACGGCGATACGTTTCAATCTCGCGTCCATTAAATTAATTATAAATTTGTTTTTCCAAGTTTGTCTGTGACTCGCGTCGTGCAGGGTAAGTAAAAGACAACGGCGACAGCATTTTGCGATTATTATCGAACCGCTGTTCGTTTGTACAAATGGCTGGGGCTAAACTCGTCAAAGTGATTGGCCCCGTAATACATAATCGCAATTTCTTTCGGGTTAATTATACCGATGCGTCAAATTAATTTTCCTCGCGCCGGAGCTCCATGATAAATCGAACGCGGGGTTAACGACGTGCAGCGAAATGCAAAAGGCGTGAGAACGCTGCGATTGTCAGCTCCTGTTATTAATTTATCACCGATGTTGCGCACGCTCTTCCGATGGGGATTGTTAATGCATTCAAAATGGAGGTCTCTGTTTTACAGATCATGGTAATATTTGAGCAATCTGCGATTTACTGGTACGACGTTTCACAATTTCCTAGGATCGTTACGGTTCTTCTAAAGCAACAAACTGATGCTACATTAATCGATTACGTTTCACAATACTCGTCGAACGAGTGATTTGTAATTAATTGACACGAGATTTTAGAGTTTATCATACCGTGGGATGCGAAATTCTTAATGCTCGTAGTTTCTTCCAGCTAACTCGCTAACTTTATATTTATTACAAACCACGTGGTTTTAAAACTTTGTTCAATATTTTACTACAATATAACGACGTGTCTTCTGCAAACGAAAGCAAGAAAATTCTTCGATACCGAACCACCTTGGCGAAATATCTAACCACGAAACGTCGCTTAATATCGCGTATGCAAAGTACACGAAGAAAAAGGGGATTTCCAGTTTTCTTACGGCGAGCTGCTCTGAAAGTAAAATAAGAGTATGCTTTTGACAACATTTCATTTCAAAATCCATACCTCGACCACTTCCCTAGATACACAGAGCTTCCAACCGCAGCGTTTAAGATGTAAGTATAAAACTCAATGACGTTTGAAATTCTTCGGATCCGCGGCGACCTAGCCTTTTTGCTACCTGGAAATGCGTGCGTCTGTCATTGACCGGTGAGCAGTTGTCGCGGTTTCAGATGAAACGAATAAAACGAACAAAATTTGTCGAGAAAATTGTATACATAAATATATAATTCGAGGGTGGCTGATTGCAAAGTTTTCGGTCAGAGTGAAATTCTGCTGCAATTTAAATTACAAGTCAGTGAGCACATTCATTTTAAATGAAAAGACGATTACAGGATTGACACAATATCAATGCATTGCATTAGTACATTTCACTGCTTAATTTTTATTACATTTGTCTAGTTTGCGAAATTAATAATTTAAATTTTCGTCCAGTGAAGGAATTAAAAAAAAAAAGAAACAATACTTCGATACTCTAGATCATTTATACAACGATCCAAAATATACTTCGAAAATCGATACAAATTGTTTAAAGTATTAAAACACAATAATATAGTCAAGATTACACTATATCTGTAATTGCGAATGTAAAAGCTCATTTCTGATGTAAATCTGAATTCAATTAAATAGCCAACAGTCGAGTAATTTATAGACGGGAATGAAATTCATTTTTATGAAATTTTATAATACTGCAAAAATAATTTACAATACCGTTTCATTTTATTCTATGTGGTACATGTACGCAATTCCATTTACGCAAAGAGATTTTTATTTGCGGCAATTCTTTACTTCAACGATAGAATGAAATTATCTCTCTAGGTTGGAAACTTGCGACAGCCGCACGAATCGAAAATATTTTCAATAACAGAGAATTTTATCCGTACGAAGCAGAATGTGATTTTTGCGTTACTCTCGAATTGATGTATTCTATATTTTCTCTTTCTTCTTTTTTCTCTTTCCATTTTTAAATAAAACGAATACGAAGGTCGAGAACTTCTTTCTCGATTTTATTTAAAATTAATCCCCTCGGATTCGAATATTTTGCTGCTGTTGAAATTGCCTTGGATTAAATCCTTTTTCACTTCCGATACGCGCAGTATCCCATCGTATTTTCTCTACTGTACCGTTAGTCAGAAATTTGAAAAAAAAAAAAAAAGAAAATATTCAATAACACCATTCGAACACGGATATGAGTTTTAATCCAACGCGAGCCTTTTTTTTCGAGCCTTTTACATTGGATCGCAGTCGAAACACTGTTGAGTCTGACTGGAGGATTTTAATATTTAAAAAAAAATTATTATACGCGAGTGATTGATGATTCATAAAATCATACGATTATCAGTATATTTTCATTTATAAAAGTGATTAAAAGATCGAATTTAACATCCAACTTTCATCTTTATGTGAAATGGTACTTCATGATATTATTGTTCAATTTTTTGCTATGTCAATTGAAATATATATGTATATTTTAGTCATTAACTCACTCATCTCCAAATTTGTCAACTTTCTAATTACATTTCATTCCAAAAGAATTAAGAAAATATATTATCTATATATTTACAACTATTTTATAAAATCTTTTAACAGGACTACAGGAATCATTTAGCATTTTAATTACACTCATCACGATGAAAGAATTTTACAAAAATCACTCCAAAATAAATAAATAAATAAAATCAAAATTCCAAGAGTTAAAGTGAAATTCGAATTTAAACGATCAGCTTTAAGGAGAGTGCGTCGGCTGAATAAAATTAAGTGACGATCTTAATATGAACTGGAAAAACAGGAGACCACGCATCGTCTCTCCGCAATTTTTCTCCGTTTCATCGCGCGCAACTCTCTCTCTCTCTCTCTCTCTCTCAGTTTCTTTTTCCTTTTTATTTTCCTACGGGTTGCATTCGTTTCACCGCGGCAATTGCAATAACCGCGCCAGGCCAAAGAGAGACGCCACATTAATTTCGACTAGACATCAAAGCGCTTCTGAGACTGTATTGTGCACGAGCCTGGCTCGCGATGCAACACGACTGTTCTCCTTTCACCTTTGTTAGCCTCTGCTCTCCGTTTCCACCCTCCGTTTCCAACCCTCTGTGTTCTCCTCCTCGTATCGGTCAAATGACACGACGCGGCACGACAAAAGCGAATTAACAACGAAAAAAGAAAAAAAAAAAAGAGGGGGGAGTGTGAGAAAGGACGAGCCTGTCTCCGATCACGTGGTCGATACCTCCGTCGCAATTTTCCATATTTCCTAATGAACGATACGTGTCGTTTCGTTCACATGGTGTTCCATTTATCTGTCCATTTGCTCGAATGAAATTTCAGCCAATGTTCGATTAAACGAACTCTTGTCGGCCGATTTAAATTTATTTGAATTTGAATTTCTGTCGGCGCGCGAACGAGATATCACTGAGCGAAAGCATCGGTGGATTTCTATCATATGTTGGACGGATATTACGCGAACCGAAAATTATCAGGGGGTCACAGAATCAGTAGATCTTTCTATAATATGTTTCACGAATTCGTAGAATTGAAACGAGAATTTTACAGAGAAATTTACTTCTGCCATCACCGATGACTCGTTTTAAACTCGCAGTCTCAATCCTGTTTTCACCTTGATTGATTTTAGGGATTTCGTCACACGAATCCGTCCGTCCGAAATCCCTTATTTAATTATTATCGAACACAATTAACTTTCTAACAGAAGAAAGAAAAAGAAATACGTAGTTCAGATGATATTTCACGTTTCAACGAACCTCTTTGTTACACGGGCAACAAAAAAAGAGAGATTCTAACGAGCGAAATATATATCCTGACTCTTTCACAATCCCAATGATCCGTACTCACTCTGAATTGAAACGTGCAGGATATTAAAGATAAACAATTTCACTATTTTGACCGTGCTCGCGTTATTGCTTCTACTTGTATTAATCCGAGAAATCGATTATTGCCGCCGAAAAACTGTGCCAGCCGAGGAGATTAATTAAAAAATCGCCACGAGCATGCTTCTGTGCTATCTATATAAAAAAAAAAAAAAGAAAAAGAAAGAAAGAATCCTCTTTGTTTTATCATCTTTGTTTCTTTTACTTTAATTCCAATCGATTTTTCTCGTTATCTGGTTAGCGTTGTTTCCAGTTTGAAAATCGATTAATTAATTTCTCTGGACCGGCGAACCATTGCTTGAGGGATCATTTTATTTTTACCGACAATTGTCTATCCATTATTAGTGATTTATTGTACTAGGAACACAAAGGGAGACTTACATTTTTTTTTTTTTTTTACTGACTCTGACAAATGTGGTATTCAATTTTAACGG